CATTAAAGATTTAACTGTTAGGCAACCGAAGCCTTGAATGGTACACACAAAGTGATAGTAACACTAGCATCAAATTTCCTTATCAATGGACTTCCTCGTCTCTCCGGAAATATCATCAGCTGAGAATCCCAGATTATTGGCGGTCGGATAAGTTTTGTCTCAAATGCTATCGAAACAATGAGAAACCGTGACCCGTCAATGAGTCACACCCCTACTGGATAATCTAACAGCAATAAATAAACCGAATTCTCATCTCCTCATAATGAAGCGCCTCTAGTCGGTCCTCCCACTGCACTTACCACACTTTGCATCCTATTTTACCATTCCGTCCTATCGAATGAAACATACTAAAGAGTTAAAAGCTACATCGTAGATACCAAAGGCGTTACATCTAAAAGTGGCTCTTGCTTTTTAAGAACCCCTATCGGCTCTTATCAGTTGTTATCAGTTCTTGTCACCCTGTACCTAAAATTCCGTCGCATCACCTACTGAAATGCCAAGCTTCCACCGTGACACCTAGGGCATTTTAGATCTCATAGCTCTTGTCGTCTGTATCTCATTATAGCCTCTACGTAGGTTATCTTTTATATTTCAAGATTTGAGATTAGAAAAAAAATACTATTTATTGAAAATCGCTTTACTGCCTTTCAAATTTCTCAACATTAAGATCTATACACTTTTGCATGGGCTCGAACCAATTTTCGAAGCACTTTCGCCACCCTGATTGAGGTAACTCTAAAACAGCATTCTGAACGCATCAGCGGCTTCTTCAAGTATCGAAAAACGTTGACCTCTCATTTGATTTTCTACGTACGGGATGGGAAGAAGTCAACCGGGGACGACATGGCTGATGACCTGTCTAATCGTTGTTTTGAGTGCTCAAAAATGCAGTTGTTTGAGCTGATGTGGGGGAGCTCGCATTGTCGTGGAGAACGTCTTCAGCAGTTGGTTTCCTGATTTTTTGGAAGTCATTGGCAAAGAAATGGTGGTGTGCCACTCAGAATTGACTGTTCTGCTTGTACTAGCGGTACGGTTGCGACATGTCCAGTTTTTCCAAAAAAACAGGAGATCAACTGCTCGGAAGTGCTCGGTGCGCGGTCAGCTTTTGTTGAATTTGGCTCATCT